GCAAACATTTGTTTGCCGTGATGAAGTATAAACCGTGATATTGTCAAGGGGACTTTGAGCTTTATGGGCTGAAACCAAGAAGTAGTTACCTCAACAGGGTGTACACAGACTGGTCAGCTAACCAGAAAGTCTCCTATATATTTAGAACTTGGATAATAAATTAACAAAACCTGAATGTGCCTAGTTCTAATTCTACATGGAGGCAATCCTCACTGACATTGAGTACTCAAAAACAAAACCTCAAGAAACAACTAAGGGCTTATTATCTTTCTTTTCTTGTGCACCAAGTCACTGAATAAGCCTTTTGCACCTTCATCAGTCTTCCCATCAGTGGCTTCGGCTGTGTGACTGAAGTCCATGGTAGGAGTGTTTGCCGCTTCCCTCAGTGCGGCTTGCAAGGCTTCCATTTCGGTCGCTGTCCCAGCTCCAAGCAAACCTGAGTCAATAGTTTAATACAAACATTGCATCTTCAGTCCATTACAAATTCCAGCAGCTAACACACGAATTTGTGGTAAGCCTTCATCACCTCAAAAATCTTCCGTAACTCAGAACCCCAGAAAAATAGAACAGAAACAGAGGTCTGAGATTCCAATTTTGTTTTGATTTAAATTTTTCCCGATAATGGCCATGCAAATACACTTTGAACCAGATTACGAAGATTCTCCTTTTCAACCAATACCTGATGAACTATCCAACATTTGATTCTTGGTGCTGGCAGTCCTCATGTCTCTGGTCGTCAGAGCGTCACCCCCTCCTAACTTCGCAGTGGCCTCCCCCACCTGCCCAGTAGTGTTTAACATGGAATCGCCCGTGTCTAGTAAGGCCACCTTTGCCAGCATGCCTTTCTTGGACGACGCCACGGCACCGCGGGGGTGAACGGTTGGTTGGGATGGGGAGGTCTCTGTTGCGGAAGATGGTTGCCCGCCTGCGGGATCGTCATCTTGACTAGAATCCTCCTTCCCAGGGAGTTGCCTGAAAGGCATAGGGCTACTGTGCTCATCTGCAGTGCTGCCAAATGAGCAAAGATTACAAATTCACATTTAGATTGATGGTTATCTCGCTCCTTACAGACTTTGGCAACTGACCAAAGGCACCTTTCCATATGTACATTTTGGGATACATTGCGCACATGATGAGTTCACATATTTCACTTTCACTGACACAAAAATCGACTCCATAAACGTAACACACATGTGCATTGTGTTCAGATGCCAAAATCACCCCGGGAGTTATTTTGACGGATACGCAATGCTTGGCAGATATGGAAGGCGCCTTAAAACATATTTTCTCCTAATTGTGTGATTTCCCATCCTCTAATGCATCTAATGATCCGAGTGCATGAATGAGACCACTTTAAAGTCAACAAAGCCCTAGTGATCACAGTAGGTACATGTAATGGTACAAAATGGTGCGGGATGGTTGAAAACAACAGGCCCTTGATGCATACTTGAGTAACAGGATGTATAACAGAAGATGTCAGTATGTATTGGTCACTCAAAGTTGTCTACAAGTAAATCACATTTTCTGAGATGTTGTCTGGATCTAAAGTACAACTGATGCATTGTAAATGGTGGGTTTGCAAGATGTTATTTTTTACAGGAAAAAAATTGGAAGGCAAACAACACAACTACAAGGTTTAGATTAGGAATGAGTTTTTGTTTAAATGTTTGAAAATGCGCTTCAGAATGTCAAGTAGTGTATTTCTGCTGATCAAGCAACTTTTCACAGGCTCTAGGGATCAGTCCAAACAGCGCCCTAAAGAAAAACTTGAAGGAAATGCTTTGGCATTGTTGTGGAGTATTGTCATTTAGCCGCCTTTAAGTCCACTCATAACATGTTGAAATACTCTCAGAATGCAGCTGAAGTGTTTTCCCTTTTTAAAATTTCCCTGATTTGTCACCTCCAATTATTTGATTTTGCAAATAAGTATTTGCCCAAATATATTCAAAATTGGCAAAGAAATTACCCCATGTAAGCCGATGGCATGCTCCCCATGGTATTGGACAGGTTAGCCGAGCGCCAACTGCCCATGGTGTTGGACATGTCTGGTTCCTTGATCAGCTTGTGGTAATCAACGATGCCTCCTCGCTTAGCCTCCAGCTCTTTGAAGAAGCGCTCCTTGTCCTCTTGCTCCTCTAGTGTCTCCAACCCAGGGCCAGTGGAGGCGGGTGTGAGACCCTCAGAGGTGCCAGTTTCTGAATGATGAATCATTGAACCTCCCCAGAATTCTTGATAGGGACCCCTAGATCCTTTAAGATCCATCACTTTCAAGGGTTCTCAAGCACAATTATAGTCCTTGCCTCAAGACACTAGTGCTTGATAAGGAATCATGAACAGTGCACCTTATAACAACCCAGTAATTGGATGATTGTGCTTGCTTGCACTAAAAGCGCTGTCAATAGCTGACGTCTTGGGTCAAGACTAGCTCCTGCTTTGCACAGTCATACAAGCTTGGTGACACATTTCTCAATCCTGCAAACTCCTATAACCCTAGTGGTGGCTTTTGTAGGAATTGGGAGGGCTGGGCTTACAAATCGTATCACTGATAAATATAAATTAAAACCCAATCCATAAGATTCAGAATCAGAAGTCATTCCTGTAGTCTTACCATGTTCATGAAAGGGTCATGTATACGCATATCACATGCCTCTCTGACCAATACTTACATGTATGTATGACTACATTCAAATGCACCCACCTGTCAAACCTGAGAACGAGTGTAACATTTGAACAGGTTTGGTGCCATTACAGTACTAGGGTCTTCTCAGATTTATAGTCAATACAAATATCGTAAGACTTGTGGGGAGGTTAGCTCAAGAAACAATGGTGACAATGTACATGTATCGGGCAATTTGGACTGCTTCTTGATATGCAGTGGTAAAACTATTAAAAACCTTGACTTGCAGACTGGATAGGGGCAGAACGGTGCATCAGCAGTGTATTGGGGAAGACAAAGATGACATGCTTGTCAAAGCTAAATTCAACAAGGGAAGCCGTGCATTGGTGTAACGGATGATCTCACCTGTGGCTGTGTAACTAAGGGTGTCTTCAAAGCTGGCATTCGATGCAAGAACTCCACTGTGAAATAAATTAAACACTTGTAAGTTGACACATCAGAATTTCGTTTCTGGATAACGGAGCTGAGCATCACAGAAAGAGCCTGGTGATGGTAATGTGGCTCTGTGATTGAAGTGTTCGGGTAAAAGTGTAAGACTGTGAAATCATTTCAGGTTTCTTCTTCAAAGTACAGTACATAGCACCAAATAGTCTTCCAAAAGCAAGTTTTCAAGCAATTCAAGGAGATTATTTTAAAATCTACTTACCTTCGATCTCTAGGCTTATCTGATTTATCTTGCATCTTACCCACACTGGATACTGAAATTAAAGCAAAATATTTATGAAAAGTGCAATGCAGAACAAAATGTAATCATTTATGTTGACCACAGTGACTACCTACACGTCAAAGATCTTTGAACATTTATAAAAAAAAAAAAGATTCTTAAAGCCTTCTGGAAATACTTACAATCTTCCAAGCTGTCCTTAGCATAATGAGACTTCTTCAAACTATCTGCTTTCCTGGGCCCCTTAAAACAAAACCAAAGGCAGAATTTCATATTAAAAAGAATTTTAAAAATTAGAAAATTTCATTCAACCTTGCCCGAAGCAGCAATTACACTTGACACATGAATGCATCTTTCAATAACGTCTGGTCACATTACCGATTTGGACTTTTTTAGCTCCTCTCCTGGCAGTTCGTCTTTGTCCGTAACAGGTGTCGACTGTTTTTTAGGCTTTAACCATTTGCTTGCTAGAAGCACGGCAGTGGGACAAGAAAAGATAAAATGAACTATCAAAAAAATATTACGGACATTAATTTTTCAGAGAGTTAGAACCAATTGCCAATCAAGGAAAACAAACTTAGACCAATTTCCCAAACAAGTGCAATTAAAGAAAAATAAACAAAACAAATATGCCGAGAAGATGTAAACATGGGGCAATTAAGCAACTCAAGATTGATCTGGAAATTCAAAACTGTCAAAACCCTGTACATGTATATGTCCTAAAACTTTGCAGGGAGAAGAAAGCTGATAGGCACATAAAACAAGCATTCTGAGAATTCGTTTGTTCTGTATGAATTACCAAACACAGAGTCTGTACATAATTACGCCCAATCTATAGCATCAATCCTAACTACACTTGGTCTGAACGATCTGAACAGTTGATCGAATCTAATCTGATGATTAGATATAATTAAAACCAATTCAATATAATTAATCCGATAGTTTAAACCATTCACAGGTGCAAAGGACATTAATTTGAAGTTTACTCCACAATTTTCATTTTTATTCTCAGTTTCCAAAAAGAAACAGTTAACATCGCTTTCAACTCAAAATGGCTGACTTGGGAATATGGCCAAATGTCCCTAAGTTCCGAATGAAAAAGTCTGAAATTTGGCTTTTGCCTGAAAACCCAGCATCTGTGATGATATCTCATTTTTGCCTTTTGTGCCATAAATTATTTTTTAGTCTGCTCTCCTTCTTAGTCTGCATCAAATTCCAAAATGTACCCGTTGGAGTCTTGTCTTCAACCTCATCTGCCGCATCTTGTTCTCTCATCCACCAGGGCTGTGACTCTTTCTTCTTTTGCTCCTCCTCCTGCCGTCTGGACTTGGCAAAATATTTGTTTAGCTTGTCTGAGTCCATGGAGTCATCTGACAAAGACTGCGAAACCGGAGCAAATGTTACAGAGTTTCATTGGTTATTCTACGTATATACATAGTTCATTTCCCAGAAATGCATTCACTGCAGGTTGCGGATTAAAAGCAAATCCAGTTTAGGGTGCAGATGTAAACTGTAACACACAGCAAATCTGTTCTTTTTTGGTGGCCACTTGTTTGTATATCATATTCCAATCATTCCTATGTGTATTAAGGTACATCATCCTGTTAGAATTGTACATATTAGCATGCAATACTCAATAGCAATCTGAGCACGTTAAGACCCAGGTCTTGATGTAACTGCTCAGCACAATTTTGACTCCTGCACAAATTTATTGTTCTCCCTCCAGCGTTGGTCACCCTATGAATGATGTGTCATTTCAAAGGCAAATCAACTCTACCAGTAGATGGAGTACAATCAATTTGTACAAGAGTCAAGACTGCTCTGAACACAAGTATTTTGAGCCTTCTATTGATTTTTACTTGTTACAGATGCAGGTATAACTGGGCAAACTCTGCACCTGTGACATTGATTTACCTCCTTGAGAAACTTCTCAAAGTCCTCGTCCAGCTCCCTTTGAGAGAATTTCGGTGCTCTTCTCATGTTTCTGAACAGTTCTTTCAAGTCTCACAAATATAACTGTACCATTCACTGGAGTTCTCGAGCAGGCACTTCACTCTGTTCTCAAGGAGCTTGTCCTTCTCTGATGATAACCACATTGATTCATGATTCTGAAAAACGATATTTAAGAAAAAAGATTGATGTGAGAATCAAACTACATAGGCCTAGGCCTACATTTCATTTCAACCAAAGCATGTCAATTACGCCTAGGCCTACGTGTACTTCCCCTGCCAATATAGCCCAACTCTGGCACACAGTCATGACAATTCCAACTTTGACAGCCTTTGACATTTACTCAACAGTAAACAGGCAACATACTTCGGCAAGTACCACCCTGAAGTTTTAAAGTTGGCTGGAATTTTCAGTTCAATTCATGATGACTTTCTGATGTCGGTTGCGTATTGCCAGACATATGAATTACAAGCAGACAAGTTGGGACTGGAGTTGATATACATTATTTTCAACCCCAGCCTCATAGATTTACTTCCTAGAAGAGATTAGGATTTTTTACACTTCCATACAGAAACAAAAATTCTAAAAGTTAGTAACAGGTCTAGGCCTAACATTAAGTTACACAAAAATCGAAGAGGCAGCATGCAGTTGATTACGATCTACCACCGTCCAAGAAAACGATTTGTTGTTAAAAGCGCCCTCTAGATTTGTACCGGACGCCTTGAATATGTAATTGAGCGAAGTCCGGGCTAGGTATCTGACTAAAAAGAGTGGCGCGCCATTTCAACCTGTCAATGTCAGGACGACAGTCATACCGTAAGGCTGTATAAAGTTGGCAAATATTTTATTAATCGCAGGCCTGATCCACCAAATTCCACCATCCTATTAACACGATCATGGATTTGGATTTGGAATATTCCATAACGCCCCCTTTGTCTCCATGCGATGTTGCCAGTGGTGAAGACTCGCCGCCATCATTGGGACAGTCGCTGAAACAAGGTTCGCTGAAGACAGGCTGAAAAGTACATTGTACTAACGCGTTATAACGTTAGGTGCATTGGTTTGTGGCCTCCCGTGTCTGTATTACACACTATAAGTCATGCAGAAAAAATGTTGCATCCTGGCTTCACTTTTCTCATCATATATCATCTCAGTAAAACTCGGTTATTACAGAAATGCTGGAAAGACACGAATTCTGGACTGAGAAACATTTACCGATGTTGTTGAGAAATACTTAAAAAATTCTCTTCACTCCCCATAGACTTTGTATACAACTGCTGAAGTGGAGTGAGGATGCAACATTTTTTTCCCCATATTTTAGCTGTATTGATTGTGCCAACTTTCTCTGCCGTACTACTAGAAGGAGTGTAGGCTACTACACCTATTTGATTTGTGCACCAAATTTCACACATGCCTTCCTGGTGAAGTATTTCATCACAGATTACCAGTCAGCATCGATTAAACTGTCTTGTATCCAGGCACCAGTGCAGGATTTATGCAGTGGGTATTATCACTTCTGAGTAGGCATTATTAAAAGTTAAATAGTAAAATACACCACGTAGCCTACACAGTCAAGTTAAGTTACACATTGTTGAATAGGGAGGCTGTCGGAGGTATTTATGAATTTTGTTGTATAGGACTCATGCTCATGGCGTTATTATTATTAAACTTGACGTGGCATGATGTGTTGTCTGATTTTTAACATCTTTCAAACCTTGTCACCTATCACAGATTCTGTTCAATGTCTAGCCTGCGTTGAATGTTTCAACATTCGAGAGCACCATACATCACTGACCTCAACACTGAAAAGGTGCCAACCAATTATTTGATGTCTTAAAAATTATCATTTAAGAGCGTAAAATGGCAACTGCTCTACATTCCTTTTCCTGTGTTCTCATTATGGCTGTTATTTATTCCGCTGATTTCCTGTAGAATTCTTCTTGGGAAGGACCCAAATCCAGAGTGTTTCCAAGACAACACTTGTGAGCTCTTTGGCCACACCTATGTCACTGGAGTGGCTCTTCTGGACGCTACGTCACATCTCTTCTGTTTATCGAGGTAAAGGAATGTGATCAAGTTGAAATTTCTACAGAGTTGGCAACAGAGATAGGTTGACAAGAAAGCAGATAGTGATCATGGTTTGAGTAAAGTTATGCATGTAATTGGTGGTAGCGTAGCTCAGCCTGTGACAATCCTAAGGTGGCAGTTTATCTACCGTTGAGTTGGATAGGGGACCCCGGAAGATAGACACTAAAGAATTTTCGAATCTTCTTTGGTTGGCTTTTATTCCACTTAACTCCAACAGTTGTACATGTACATGCGCAACCCCCAGAGGAAAAAATCCCTGATATAATGTGGGGTTGTGACTTGTATGTGGAGGTAGTGCTCACTCTAACAAATGGCCCAGTGAGGTCTGGCGTTGGCCGAGAGCATGCATGGCAAATTGGCAAGAGCCCATACAGACATGCTGGGGTGAATCGGTTCAAGGCGTAACCATTCCGCCATTCATAAATATCTTTCATTCAACAGTTGCCAACCTTAAAGATTGCCAACAAACCCAAATGTGTTTTTACATTAATTTTAAAATACATGTATACAGACTTCTTGATAAAGTTTGTCCCTGAAAATCAAGTAAACAGTACCTTCTTAATCTACCGGTGTCCCCAATCAGGGTTGTTGCCTTACAACTTGTAATCATTTTCATTCTAGGCAGTGTGTAACCAAGATACAATCACTTCTTGGCCAAGGGAGCAGCTGGGGACTCATAGGTAAATGTGCCAACTAAAGTGAAACTACAGTTCCCTTCTCTGTCAGTTCAGGTTTACATTTCTTCAAAATTTTTCACACAAATATAAATCAGTCCCCAAACTGCATACATTAGTTTGCTCTCTTTACCACAAAGTGATGCATTAATGTAGTCACTGCACTCTTGTGCACAAAGTCTTGTACATGATATTACCTTGTGGTGAAGTAAACCTATCACACATTAAACATTTTTATGGTTTGACTATTTAAACAAATGATATGCAGTTCCATGTCACCAGTTTATTTTTTATTTTATTTTGATATTTTTGATGAACACACATCCGTATTTCCGATTGTACAGTATACACTGAAAGTCTGTACCTGCCACTTATCTAGTTGACAAGCAACTTTCTTACAATAATCAACCACAAGCTCATTTTAAAGCAAGTAATTTATTTGCTTAGGCCTTGTCCAAATAGCTTGGCTGTGGCTTGCAATTACACAACACTACGAGAAGTGGCCGCAGCCACTGCCATATACTTATGAGTGAATTTAAGCCGCAGCCTAGCAATTGGGACATAGACTTACTATTCCATGCTTTTTGTGATCAGATCCTCTTGTGAGCGAAGCTAAGAGACTCCATGGCCATGTGATGACATTCATGAAATACGTGCAGGCATTCATTTACAGGTAACGCTTAGACTTAGAGCGAATTATGACACACAGTGTTAAAGACTTTGAGTGTGGACATGCATACAATGTACGTGGAAAAAAATACAACCAGATAACATTTAGGAAACTTCCCATGAGGTAGAATGCAGGTCATCAGTATTTAGCTATGTTTTGAGGTCTCAATTCACATTTTATACTGCTAGATAATGAAGGAAATGGAAAATGCATACGTCACTGTCACATCGCTACCAAGAAAATGAACACTCCCAACCAACATGCCTCCTTTCAAATGATGAGGGGATGCTTCTGCTCGAGGCGGATTGCAGTCTTCAGGTTTCAGACTTTTTCACAACACAAAATTCCAAGACTGGATATGTTGTCCTCTCGTACACTGAGCCAAAGATGTTGTCCATTTTGTTCTATCAACTTACATGTACGTGTAAAATTGTTCCTTGGCAGATACTTCAACCTGCCCGATGCTACCCTGCCCCCCTCGGTCTACACCCAGAGGCTGGCCGTCTTTCCCTCCTTGCTGGTCACTGAGCTGCAGACCCTGTCCATGTTCAATGGCAGGATCAGTGAGTTGCCTGTGGGGGTCTTGCAACAGTGTGCTGCGTCATCAACTAGACAGGTATTTGGCAGTCACACTCAAATAATCTGGATTTAAGCCAGGGATTGTCCAAGAGCTCTGTCTTTGTACTCTGAAAAAAAAAGTCTTGCATTGAATTGATTGATTTGCATTACATGCCGACAAACCTATTGCATCATATGCTATCATATATAAAGTATTAATCCTAAATGGCAGAACTTTGTAATATTTTGCAGGGTTGATAAAGTTAGAACCCAGCGACATTTATTTTGGAATTTAGGAAAATTCTTAATTGTCCCTGATGATTTTACAGTTACATGTACATGTATCTATATAAATCTTGACATATGAGCATCATAATCTCCTTTTTCTCAAAAAGGATTCCACGGGAAGCCTTTTGTTACACATGAATCTCAGCACTCAGTGGAGCATTGTACAAGTGTTGCATCTGCTGCAGGCTAAATTGAAAGGTAAAAGAGAGAGATTTTTAGATTATAATTCAGAAAAGGATTGAAACTATGGAGCTGTGTCTTATTCGGTTACAAATGCAAACAACACTACAACGCCATATGAAACTGGAATCGAGAATTCAGGACTACAGTCAAAATGATGCCACTAAAATAGCTTAAATCTTTGACAGCATGAGCTGAAACCCATTGTAATGTTTACATATGCAGAGCTGCCAACCAGAACAATTTTATCATATTTCGTACGATTTTTCAGTGACAATACAAAATTACGATTTTTCTCAATAACATATGACTTAAAAAAAACTTTGTGGATATTTTAGATTTTTACCTATTGTCATGATTGTTTGGCTTGAAAATGGACATTTTTCACAAGTTAATTTCACATGGTAATATCAGTCGTCCATAATGTCAGAAATGTCATGCAAATGCATGCAACACGCATGATGCGGTGTCTATCCACGAGGCCCTTGATTGTCTGTTGCTGCTTCATTTGTGCAGTTAATCTGTGCGCTGCACATGTACGTAAACTGTGGATGTATAAGCAACATCAGTCTGGGGCCCATACTGCATTGCGTTCGCTTGATCATTCGCATACGAATCAAGCTCCAAGTTACGCAACAGTGAAGGATAGGATTTTTTTCGGAAAAGAGGATTTTTAAGGTAATATCACAAGATTTTTGGTCAAGTGAGGTTGGCAGCTCTGCATATGCATGTCCACAATAAAAGCAGTGATTCTTCATGCATTGTCAATTTGCTGGAATATTTGTAACTTGTGGCTATTCATCAGAATGAAAGCTTATATCAGGCATGCAACATTTAATCAGATCAGTTGATGTCTTCGTGTTTTACTTCACATGTAATCAAATTTGAAACGCTGTACAAAGTACCAGTAAGTAAAGATTGGAATTTCCTCAGTTTTAGTCAAAGGTCTCGTTGCATGCCCAGTATATAATATATATGGAAATTTCTCTTGCATTTTCTGGTCTCTTATGGCACTTACTAGGAGAGCAAGATGTCCTCTCATCATTTAATGAGAAAGCTGTAGAATTTTTTCAAGACCTGTTGAATATAGCAACACTCAAGTATAACAAGGTAAGAGTCTTTAAATAGCCACAGATGCACAGTTATTGGATGAATTAACAAGCAATACATTCTTTTCAGGTTTATAAAGTAAATTCTCATACAAATTTTACAATCGACTCGTTCAATGTTTCAAAATGGCAAGGTCCTTCAAGAACTAAGCACAAGCATGTGTAGGTGCATTGCTGCACAGTTGGGAAAGACTATCGCACACGTGCTGCTTTTCTCGGTAACATCAGACGTGCTTTAGTTTGGGCACGCACTGTTGGAAAGCTGAACTGACTCATTGTTAAGATACTTGAGTCTGAAGTACCTCCTGTTTATATTCCAGATCGGGTACAGCGATCATCATCAACATGGCTCATTCCCAGATGGCTGCCTGCAGGATCTCTGGTCGTCTCTGATACACCTGCTGGACTCTAGACACAACCAGTATTCCACTGATGTGAGTTGTGGCATAGTTCCTCTCCCATTTTTATGTAGGCTGTATGTTTGTATCAAATACATACATGTACCGGTACATGCAATCACTTACAAGATCACATATTTTGTGATCTGAATATGACATGGTTTGAGGGCAGATAGTAGATACGAGCTCCCAACGGTGTAAGAAGTTGGCATGTGAGTTCATTTCCAAGGCAGAGCTGATGGAACTAATCTGTCAATTTACAGAACTGAGTGGAAGTGACATTGGTTGTCAACCGAAAATAAAACGGGGGATTGGGAATTTCGGGACCCCCCTGTTTTTATTTACTTTTACGAATAAAGATCAGCCCAGGAAAAGAGCATTACTTGGGCAATGTGTCTTGATTGCTATGGCCCTATTTGGGTTGCATTTGGAAGAGTAAATTGGGAGAAAAATGTTACTTTCTTACCTTATTTTCGTCAACATGAAAAGAGGGTTGTGTTGACATGCACAAACATGGTGCTTTATGTATAATGCTGTTACTCCCCCGTAATTTTAAACCAATTAAACTCTGTCTTATTCATGCAAATTAGGTACTATCCAATCAGCGAAATTCATCCAAAAAAGGAACTGGCAAACTTTTACATCACCTGAGGGTGCTATGCATATTAAAGAGTGTTCAAAACTTCATATGTTGCATTACAACAGTCAGTAATTGTTTTGTCATTGTCTTCATGATGTTTTTCACTTGTTTTTCTGAAGGAAGTCAAGGCGACAAAAGAATCTTTGAACATTCCCCACATTATCTCATGTAGCGGGGGGGCATGCATGCACGTGTGTGATGTCTAGTGGTGTGTTCGACATCATCGTGTGCACTGAGTAAATAGCAAGAATAGCAATCAGCACATGACGGTGAATGGACTAGTGAAAAAACAGCTCTTGATCTTGAAAATCTATGAATTGTGACAATTCTAATTAAAATAGGCATTTGTTTTTCTCCTCCAATTTCATTTCTATCAGTCTTTCTGGTGTAGCTTTCATTCCTGCTTGCTACCCCTTCTGGACGAACCCTACAATCCATCCCGAGAAGCAACCATCTCCAGTGACCCGCCACCGTACCCCAAGCCCAGGGATCCTGTTGGTCTGTGTTGGTGGTTGCTGCAGTATGTTGCACCACTGTGTCAATACGACCCAAATGGCCAGCTTGTAATGAGCAAACAGGTATTTAAAATGCACACACAACTTTATTAAAGTTCAGCATTGGCTCCTCAGAAAGACAGTCTGAATTATGTAAAGATACTGAGGAAATAAAGAAGGGTTACCTGGTGCTGCCTTTGACCAATGCTGGCCAGCAATCTTGTATTGCATTGCCAATGGGAAATAGTGTGCAAATGTTACCATGATTGGAACACAGCCGGATTTTTTTCTAAATACCGTATAGTATGCTATTGTGTCAGTGGCGAACCTTTCCGATTAAAGAATCACTGAAGAGATGTCTGTGGGTATCATTTTCTTCGGTTTTGTTCCAGGGAAGGCCCGTTAGAAGCTACTGGCTTCTTGTTGAGGATTTGCTGAAAATAATGTTTACTTCAAATGTAAGTGGACTTGTTCAGAGCCAGAAACTAATAATAATCAACTATAGCTTAAATAGAATTTGATGTCCATATCTAACAAATGCAAGTACATGTGGGGGTTCTCTAGGATTGACCAATTATTCATGTCACTGTTCATTTCATTTTGATTTGAGTATTTGTTGCCATAGTGAAAAAAATGGTTCAAACATCTGAACATATTGTGAGTTTTACGCAAGACATTAATTAATTAATTTAAAGATTCATATAAACCTTCACATTCATTGTGATTACTATCATTTGAATATGGATGTCATGCTAACATTCACCCTCATCCCATGTTTAGGAAGCAGTGCCTGACGAAGCTCGCATGCAGACTTATCTCAGATCCTGCCTAGTTCTGTGCCACCTCTGGGAACCTAAGGGGTCAGTTCTGACCCTACTGTGGGGACACTTTCATAAACGACTGGTAAGAATATCCTACCTAGAAATCAAACAAAACAGCAAACAAATTTTGTGAACCCTCTGTCCCCCATGTTTACCAGAGCCCAACGTCTTGGCTCTTTTTAATACCCTCATCATCTGAGAATTTTGTTGCTGTATTTCAAAATGAATTCTTGCCTAAAGGGAAAAACCAAAAAGCTTATTGATGTTTACTTTTGAAACCAAGTATTTGGAGGTATTTGGCCTGTTTCTTGCAGAATAAGAAGTTGATTGTCCCTGGCGAAGGTGTGAAAAATCTTGCTTCCATCTGGTGAGTAATTTTATGCTGTATAATCCTTTCAGTCATGTAAATCAAATAAATAATTTTGTTGGTTATATGTAACAGCAAATGCCACACGATCAGCTTTAGTGAGGTTTGACCTCAAAAAGTATAAATTTTGAAGGGTTCTGTTACTGTAACAGGTTATTAGTGCTGTAGAAGTCTGTGTGTTTGTCGATATGCTTTTAATAATTGGATTGTACTGGTGTATTTTATATTTTACAGCCAAACTCCACATTCCTGGTATGACCATTGTAAAGAGAGGATAGCTGATCACACTGCAAGGTATGCTACAAGTAATGATTGTTGTGCTCTTTCTGGATTTTTGGGGGGTCATAAAGTTTCTCTAAATATCGTGTCAGTGTATCAACCCTCAAAAGCCAGCCTATTACCATTGACAGTACGCCATGGACATAGGCCAGCTGGTTTGGGTTGGCACTGCAATTAAAGGGTGTAGGCTTTGTTTCAGACTTCGACTGAGAGCAATTGTCTTGTCACAACAAAAGGCCCAGAGTCTCTTTGACCTGTGGAGGTCCAATTTTATCTTTTTATGCCAACTCTCAATTTTATGCTATTTTTAAGTCCATATTTCCCCCTTGTGAATGTTACCTTCTATGCTAAGGGATTTCAACCCATATGTTAAATAAAAAATGTTTTCTTAAATTTACAGCGTAACTACAGTTGTGCTAACACAAATATCAGTGAAATTGCTTCTGAATCCAGATGGATCCTTCTGTTTGCATTGTATGAATAACCATTTAGAGATTAATGCATACAGACCAATTACAAGTAATAACCTATCTGTTAACCACTTGCATCTTCAATCTTGTCAAAAGTCGTCACCATGAGAACAGCTTTGACCTGTTTTTGCACATCCTGGCGACGCAGCTCAAGGGCATGAAGGAGTTGGGCGGGTCTCAGGGATGGAAGCAGCTGCAGGGGAGGTTCTACTCAAAGTTCCACAGCCGTAGCATGAAGGAACTGGATGAGACTGGCCTGAGCCGCTTCCTAAGCCTGTTCTTGACCTTTGCCCTTGTGACCGACCTCTCTGATGTGGTGAGTTGTGAGGATTTCTGAGCACCATATTGTTGATTCGTATATTTTTTGATGTTAGTTTGGGCTTTACGTATTAATTTGTCAATTGCTTTTGTTTGATTTCTAGACCAGCCGCATGTTGGACTTTCTGGATTTACTTCCTACTGACACTCTTACCCATGGAAAGCTCCTACTTATCTGGAGAGGTCAGTGCAGTATTTTCTGAGCTGCATTTTGAAAGCCTGAAATGTTTGCCCTTAAAGTTTCATCTCACATGGAAAGTTCCATTCATTAGTTTGGTGTGTACCTGTATGTTTGCCTGTGATGTTACCTCTTGACAATTGGAGAGATGTGGCTGAAGATCTTTTTAATACAGAAATCAGTGCTCCTGTCAAGATCTCCTCTGAGTACCCATGCACGCTGACATAAGTGCAAGTGGTGAATTCAGCGGTGTGTTTGTTGACTCAGCACTTTGAATGAGTGGCACTATGGGTGTAAGGGCAAATACCCACGAGATGCAAGAAGTACATACATGTCAATATTTGTAAAAGGGGCACGAATGTAAGCACTTAAACATGTTTATCATGCTTTTTACTCACTCTGTCAAAATTGAAATTTACAATCAAAAACCCATGTGCTTAGACCACAAGTTGAATTCAAGCTATAATTAACTCCTGCACACGCACACTTGAATAGGGTTCTATAAATATGAAATATGTTTCAACACCGAAAATGTTGTTTGCCAGTCGCTTAATCTATGGAAATTAGGCAGTCAGTCATTTATTTCAATTTTTGGTTCATCTCCAAGGTTATTTCTCCATCAGTCAAAGGATCAATCAATATAAAATCAGTCAATTATTATAGCCCATTATATCCAAGCCCCTGTATATTAATCATCACCTCCTAATAATTTTCCTTGTTAGTTTGGAAATCATTCACTTTGAACCTTTAAGCTAATCTAATTTTTTTTTCTCTTTCAAGGTTTGTTCACATTTTGTTTGGTTCATGAGGATCAGTCATGTGACCTAGCTGTTGTTGCTGACAGACTTGTGCAGGGCTTCAACACAGTCTCTGTGTATGTCAAATTTCAGTTACTGATATTTTTGCTGATTATTCATGTTGATTTATGCTGTATACATGTATGTGAATGTTATTTGCTGTCTGGGTAGTTGACATGGTCAAGATAGTTAAAAAACAACAGAATAGCTACATTTATAAAACAGGTAAAAAAAAAACAAATTTCTACCGCAATCCCAGCTTAAGCACAATTTACATGAACATTTCTTCAACTTGAATTTGGAAGTGCGTACATGAACAGTGATTTGATGTCTCAAATGATATACAGGTACCACTATTTGTTTCAGAAATGAGCAGTTGTATTGGTTTTCCTTCAACTGTTCTTAAGTTGCCATTGGTTATTATGAAGGTTTTTCTTTGCCTTTTACAACTTCATAGTACTTTCTCATCAGTATTGGCTGTTAGTTTTAGTTTTTTCTTGTCACCGGAAAGGAATAAAAGGAATACAAGTTATGTTAAAGCTTCTAAATGATTAGATTTGATCCTCATTGTAGATTTTGTCTGACATCGTATCAGATATATTTTTGTACTTCTATTCATTGCCTTTGCACTTGCTTGGAGAATGTCAGTGTAATTTATGAATCTAGAATGGAATGGAATCGTCCATTTGCAGGGAAATGTGCAGCAAGTCGGTTGACAGTGGAAGGAAGAGTCAGCTGTGGGCATTGGTCCTGAGCTACATGGAAGCCACACAAGAGGTGTTTGATGCCAGCAACAAGCTGCATCTCTCGGAAGAGAAACTCATCGGTGAGTGTTGGTTGTGCGACATTTTCACACTAGCCCAATCAGACAGATTCTCTGATCTGTTGCTAGTTTTCACAGCTGTTGAGCTAGTTTTGTGAGCTTAGATTTTGAGTCCTTCCTCTAAGACCCCAGCAGTCTTTCAACCAATCTTCTTGTAATTTAGCATGTACATAGAGACCTTCATCTATGAGTACGTCAGTGAAGTTTCAATTTTTTCTGACAAAAGGTTGTATTGTTACAGTCATTTATAATTCAATCTGTCATTTGTGTCAGCCTGAAAATTGAGCACACTTCAGTGGAAAATATTAACACTTTGGTTCACCCTGCCTTGGAAAACTTAACACTGTTATTTGACTTGATATTGGAAGACGTGTGATTGGCTCATGATTGACTTTTGCAGGTCTGTGAATTTATCTATGTAATAACATCTGTAAGTGGAAGCAACATGGTCTAACTTTGCCATGAATTACCCAAGTTTCATTTGCAACACATGTTGTATCTGCAGGATCTGGTCTGAGCAACCTTCTGGAAGTCTCCTCAGAACATGAGATGAGGGCGTTGTTGACCTTTCTACAGACAATTATGGCCAGGCATAGGTACATATGTAGCTAAACGAGACCGTATTCCACCTTGTTGTATCCATTTCACCTGGTTTTTTAGATCTAAGTATGTCACTTAAATGCAACCATGAATGGCGAATTACACATTGTAGATGCACTTAGATCAGATGCAAATTCTGAATAGATTTTGAACCCTAAGTGACGTAAATCCTACACTTTCAGTACTTCCAACTTGTCTCACAGTTTATTAAAGATCACGGTTGAAGTGCACCATTATTGATATAATGGTGCACTGATATATATCTTCTCCTGAAGACGGACAGAGTACACTGTTCGAAACGTCGAGTTATTCCCCGGTTCTTCTCAGAACCACACATACTCAAAGAAGAGATAAATACATGGTGTTACCGCAATTTTTACTAAAGAGCTAGTTTCTTTCACCATGAAAACCTTTAAGTCTTATATTATTGATATACTTTTTTATTGTCACGGCAACAGAGTCAAACACTTAACGAGTTGAGGAGAGCAATCCATCAAGTCAAGTGCTCTCAAAGTTGATTGAAAATAGGGATCATATGAATTTGTGCTTGTTGCCCATGTTTGTTTTTAGGTAACCAAATTTGTTTTTAAAAAACCAGCTACGAGGAACTGACAAGTAAATACGTCATGCTCTCAGAGTCTGTCCATTGACATACATATACAGTAGGCAAAGAAGGTTTTTTCAAAGCCAGGATTTGAATTTTGACATTTGAAAGGTTCTACAATCTCTCTGTTTTCTGAGACCTTTTGAGAAAACTCAAAGCACATTTAGACCTTTGGCAAAACTCAAGGTACATGTATCTGTATATATCTGAGCAGGACCTTGGCCCAGCATGTCATTACTGCATATTTGTCCAAGGTCAAATATTGCGACAGGTCAATTTTGAATCAAAGCACACTTGCAGTCTTTTTTAAAAAAAACAATTTGTAATGCTAAACCCGTGAGCCAACAGAGTCAAAGGTTATGCATTTTACGCGCTGTAAATTGGCTAAACATACCTTCAATGATACATCAGTGATGAGTCTAGTTCGGGGAACGGTAGATGTACATGTATATATACATTACCTTTGTGATGTTTCTTGATCCATTTGGCAGGAGTTTGTATCAGCAAGTGTTGATGCAGAGACCGTACTTAGCAGTCACATCTGTGGCATCGCCAGCACCGGAAATGCTCATGCACAAGTATAAAGGTTTGTTCTTTGGTTCACTCCACACTTGTTCAAAGACGTTGGTGTGTAAACGCTGTTATCCAGCATTGCTAAAAGTAGGAAAAATTGCTGTGTATGAATAGCATGAGTGCATTTTTAAATATCAAATTAAGCTACTCTCACAGTGTACATGTAAGCATGAGAGCATTTGTATGCACGGCTTGAGATGAGTACCAATGTTTATTCTTGAAGACAACTATTTTCCGAAGTTCCATGTGATGGGCGCACTTGTCACCTGTTGCACTGACACATGCCTCCATTCCTGCTTTGTTGCTTGACGACTCACCAATATTGTTAATTTGTGGGGTTTTGGGCACTTTTTTTAGCTCTTGCCAAGATTCTATGGGATCTGGTTTACCCTTTCATTAAGAGACATGCCTCCACCCAGACGCCGCCCTCGGAGCTAGCTGACGTTGCCACGAGCTTTACCCTGCTTGCTGCAGACCTGTAAGTCATGGTAACCTGACAGTCATTAAATGCTGAGCTACACGCAAGCTTGTGGCCATGAATTTCTCCATGCATTGTGATTGGAATCAATGTCCAGTGTATCCAGTGTTGTAGTCAAGACCACTTAAGACCTTCACAAGATCACACAAGAACAGCACAAGACCAACAGAAGACCTCCAGTCTTGAATTCAAGCCACAAGCTATTCAAATGAACTGCAACAAAAGCATCTCTTTATCATTTCCACCCTGTTGTGACTGGTCTTGTGTGTGGTCTTGTGACGGTCTCTACTACAAGTTTAACACTGCTGTAAATTATGAGCCAATCATTGCTGCATGTAGTTAGTAGCATTTTTAGAAAATTAAATTCATTTCAAGAGAAATGTAACAAAGTCATTACCTGATTTCTCAAAAATCAGAAAGACCAATAATCTTGGATAATATTGTACAGCATCGAAACGTCTTCCCCTTAAGTTTTTAAATTTAGTACAACACTATTAGAATAAATAATTACGATTATACATGTAAATGATCATTGAATGGCGGTCTAGTTAATGCATTCTGTCATGGATATTTGTTGTCAAACTAACAGCAAGTTGCATGACGAGGCCTCAGGGTTAAGTCAGCCAACCTCCCAGGAGTTGTTCCATTTTTATGGCCTAGATGACCACAAAGTTCATTACAGGTGAGGATATCTTTCTCATGCACTCACTGCTCCTCAGTTTCTTTCCTGATCTTTATATATGTTTTCCTGAAACCATCCATGATTTCTATGCAGTTAAGTCAGTGCCACAACCAAGAGAAAAAGAAGCATTTTCTTGGCTCCGGAAATAAAAAGTCAGTTTTAATGATTCAGTTTTTTGTATCTGTTCATTTTATAAATTTAAATAATTCAGAATGAGACTGTCTTTGATTGTTATATTTATCTGGGAAGAAGAGTACAGAAATACATTGAGTTTTGCAATGCTAGTAAAGTCTTCTCTTTCGGATTGAAATCATCTTTACAATACATATATGTATCATATTGGCAACACCGATCGTTTCTTGATGTGCAGTATTACAGTGCGTTATCTGTGCCACCTCCTGCCAAATCACTCTTTCACCGAGCAACTCCAAGCAGCTATGGGCCACACCCGGTGGGCATCATCTCTCATCCACACCTGGCTACGATGCGGACTGCAAAGCCCTCAGGCTGGTACGTCGATGCAAGAGCTGACAAGACTGGTCTTTAAGCTAGAGGAGGCATCTACCATCATGGATAGTCAGGTACAGTAGCCAGATTACTGTTCATCTTTTCACTTACATTTAAAAAGTGTTCAATTTTGATAACACAAAGGAGTTTTTGCTTTGAATTCAAGATGTTTCATTACAAGACAGTTCGTACGTATACTTTTAGTCTGTATAATTCAAACAATTTAATTTTGCAATTTTTAATCCATTAAAACTAATTTCAAGTCCAATACAACTAGATTCATTTGGACGGAATTCTTGCTGTTTGAGGCATGTTTATATACGCAATGTTTGTCTTCCAAAGAATGGACAGAATGCTCAAGTTAACCTTTTCATTTAACTGTACTCAGTCATCTAACAGCTTGATTGATGGGACTGGTAACCCGCACAAGCATGTCATGCTGCAATTCATACAAGCCCTGGGACACCAGTTTAACTCAGCACGGGTAAGTGTCAATTGCTATTTCAATGTACTCTTCTCTACTCCATTTAGCACTGTGTTTGATGATGCGTGATGGGAATTAATGCTTTTAATCCATTTTGGAAGTAACTAACAATGCTGCGTCAAGGATCCCCTTTGTGTACACAAAGATGCCATATCCAGGCAGCTTTAACTAATGTGAAAAGATCTAGACTTTTATGTTAACAAAAATTTGCTCTTTCTACGTGAAGCTGATAAAAAAAAATTACAGAGATGTAGCATATGGAAACAGACAATATTTGGAGGCTTTCATGTGGCATGCCTCTGTCACAAGTAAATGCACGCAATCACACAGAGTGCAGTGATACAAGAAAATACATGTACATGGAGCAGCACAACAATAAGTTCTAAATGTCAAACTGTGCCATCCTTGTGATGCCCAATACCATCAATAAGCAGCAACTCTCGTCATAAAAAAGTTGAAGTTAAATCCTCATACAGATTGTAACTGTGTAAAGCAGTCACCTCTGGGTCGGATTCCTGTGTCCCAAGTCAACTCTTGGCCCAGGTCATACAGGTATTAGAGTGATGTTGTTCATCAATTCTCTCCTGAGCCATGAAGATTTTCTCTGAGCACTAAGTCTTTCCTCCCTCGGTGAAAGTCCGCTCTGTAAAACTTTGCTTTGTATACCTTCGGCTGGGCCATATCGTACCCATTTCCTCTGTTGTCCAGCCTAGTGGCAGCAAGTAAGGATAAGAACTATAATTGTGAAAGTAGGTCTACCGAAAGTGTTGTTTCACCTCTAGTACTTGTACTTGTAAGCTAATCTTCCCTTACAGTGCTCACGGCAGCAGCCACCCTCCTTGAATGGCACCTACAAAGACAAACATGATATCGCAGGCCACGCCGAAATTCTTTGTACTTGAATGCGTAAATGAAAGGATTAATCACTGCATTCAAAACGGCTACAGTTGGTTCTATTAATTTCAAGTGATGGTAGAGCTCAAAAGATAGCTTTTTGTAAAAGATTGAAACCCCAAACAGGCAGTGAATTGGTAGCCAGATGAGAAAGTAGATCACCGAGACAATCAGGAGCACCTTGATGACTCGGCGGCGAGCCGCAAGTAGTTCATTGGCTGGTGCGTGGTTGTTGTCTCGCTGTTGATTTTGAGCAGCTCTTTGCAGGCTGATCAGAATTTTCCTGTAGCACCCAAAAAAAATAACAACGGGCAACAACAATTCAAGGAGAGCTATAACATACAGCAGCATATTCGTTTCAGAAAGACCCTGTTTAACGCACTGGTGTGTGCTGCTGTCATAGGACGGTGCTATCAGATGAGGAATCTTAAGAGACAATGAAATGGTCCATATCACTGCTATCATTAGTCCAACTTTGGCTCGAGTGAAGAGACGGGGGTATTTCAAGGGATGGACAATACCCATGTAACGTTCCACTGTCACACCCACCATACTGAATATTGAGAGATTACAAGCAGCCCACAATATCTTTTTTCCATAGAAAAATTTGCAGAAGATCTCATTCTGTGCAGTGTTATCATAAATAAGACCATCACTGTATTTTTCTTGAAAAACGATAAGGGTCGCACAGACAAGCATATCTGCCACTGCCAAGTGTGCGATAAGAAAGTTGGTCACACTGTGCATGAATTTTGCCTTTGCGATGGTGATGCAGACGAGGCTGTTCCCCAAAATTCCAATAATGCTGAGAGTCACTTGCACACAGAATAAAGCATATTCAAGTTGAGGCAGTTCACAGGGTGACGGCTGGCCTGATGAACTTGTATTTGAGTGGTTGTTGGAATCCATTGCAGGCCTTGTAGTTGTTGATTCTGTGTAAGTTACAATAGGCAATACTGAAAACTGTAATCAAGCAAAAGTACAGTATAGACAAAAAAATTAACCTAAAAAATGTACACAATGATTAATTTCCACATAATGCAATTTAAAGTTGATGCATAAGTGTAAATGCATATTAAAATATTTTTATACACTTCATTTTCAAACTCACTTTCGATCAGTTTTTTTCTATCCTGATAGTGCTTCAATTTAACAGTTCCTTGTCGAGCTGCACAGGTATAAATAAATGAATGTCTTTTGTAGTTAACTTTTGGGGTATAAGCATATGCTGTAATACATGTACATGTAAATGCAGTGGTCTTGTCAAAAAAATGTCAGGAAAAGGTGTTTTGCGATTATCAACTAGTGCCTTATAAAAAACACTTACCTGATCTTTGGTCGATTGGCTAAAGTCACCATTGCAGTTAAGATGCACTGATCACAGGCAACTACTCTCTAAAAATATGTCCATGTAGCTCTGCATTCTTGCTTGGTGTTCTCCTCTCTGTAGCTCATGAGTGTTTGTTTTCAGCTTTTCTCTGCTTCGGATGAATGTTGGCAGAAGTGCATGCATAACAACCACAGCTGTGGTTACTGATTAAAGATAGCAAATGAGGGGTTTGATGTGTTTTTGCAGTCTGTCATGTGGGAGTCACGACACAATCCATACAGTATTTGAACTGCATTTGGAAAAAGATTAGAGTTATGATTTTCAGGATTTGTCTGGATTTCAGGGTTTTGGACACAAAGGTTTAGATTTCTGGGTTTGCATTATTGACTTTATTGACTTTGAGGAAATGAAAAATCAGAGTCTGATATGATCACGATTATTTGAGAGAGTAGTAATGCCTCAGTTATTAGCTACTAAAAGTCCTGTGAACTCATAATATGTTCTTGTTACCATCATTTAAAACCCCTCTGCTATTGTGTGGACTTTTCTTCATCCCTGACCTAACCCCTGAAAGATGGATCCATGCACCCAAGATTTTGCCAAGTACGGTACATAATAACATGTCTTAGAATAGATTAATATTTAGGCCTAAACAACGAACAATATGTACATCAATGAAGGACATGTACATGTATAATATTCATGAGAGTATGTGAATCTTATCTCTGCATCATTGAAAGTAGGCTCTTTTCACACCAGCTCAAGGACACCAATTTACTGGACACAGGTTTCTACCAGATCCAGAGATCACTCACAGTGACCTAAAGGCTGACGGAGCAGATCTGATTTAGTGGTACATGTAATATTTATGTAGTATTAAATATACACGTACGTGTACTACCAATGTGAAGATTTCTATCCCTGGCAAACAATAACACCTTACAATTAAATTGCAGGTATCCTCAAACAACAGAGATAATTTATTATGCAATTTCAACAAGCAATTAATTGGTTTGATTTGGTATTATGGTATTGGATATACACTGTATCTTTATTTTACTCTCTCTTAATTTTGTGGTTTTTGTGCTGAGATTATTAGCAATACATAGCTACAAATGTAAATCACAGCTTCACTCCAGTCAGCAGTGCACAAGCCCTGCCTTGTACAGTTCCTATGCAGTGCCCAAACCAAACCAATGCAATACAGGCACACCATCATCAGTGCATTTCTGATATTGTTTAACATGACACCAATTACCATCACTGGACCCAACTCACACTACACGCGTAAACGACATTGAGATGCAAAGCCCAGTGTCTGCTCCTCTGTGGGCTAAGCCCAAACCTTCTACAGTACGTCCACAAGTCAAAGACTAGATTACATGTACCTGTGTAATGCTAAACGGAGACAGTCTTCCTGCACCTACATGTACATATAGTAGGGGGATATACCTGTGCACATTAAACAGATAACTTAAAACATTCCAACACCTTCTGCTATATTGCCTCCATTTACAAAGCCACAATATTTCCTTTTTGGTATTGTTACAACCCCTCTGCTGTTTTTTGTGGAGTTTCCTTCATCCCAATCTCACAAACGCAAGATGGACATCAGTGCACCAAACTTTATTTCTGTTGTCGTTTAGTATGCATGTAAATGTTATGGAAGCCTGCAGAAGTTTTGTTACCTTTGAATACTGATGCGTTTTACAAGAGTTCCAAAGACATGAACAGCACCGGTAGTTTATATTTTTCCAGTACTGCACTCATTGAAAATATGTAAAGCACATGTAGGACATGTTGGATTATTTACATGTATGATAATACACGTATCTGAAACCCCAACAGCATATTTGAAAGATTGTTCGTACACAGAAGGAAAGAAGTACGTGTAACTTTCTTCAGAGGAAAGCTTGACAATTTTGCTGTCTTTTTCAACTTAGCATTTATAGTCTTAACAAGATTCGACTACAATGTACAATGTATGTGTACAGTAGCTACATTAACTGTTGGGAGATCAAGGCTTAAAATTTTAAGTGACACAGGTTACAACAAGATACAAAGAAACAAGGGTCAAGGAAGCAGACAGTGCGCTGTGACTTTCATTTCATCTGCTTCTTTCACAAATAAATGCATACAATGGCACATACATGTAGTGCAGTTATACAGGAATAAGTGCAGGAACAAGAATAAGCGCTAATGATTAGACTGTAATACTATCCTAGTGGAACCTAATGCCATAAAAAGTACTACATGTAGCAGTGGTCCTAAAAATTGATGTTTCAGTAGTTAAAGTCCTCACATGGATGGCTCATGCTTTTAAGCATTATCGCCTCCCAATACTGTGTTCTGCTTTAATTGCCGTCCTCCATCATTTGGATTGGAGTAGTTCACTGATTCTCTCCTGAGCTTATGTAGCTTTTCTGCAGACTCCAAGTCTGTCATTACTCAGCAAAAATTGATAGGGCGTGAAGCCTGGCATTACGTGCCTTTGGCTCAACTGTGTTGCATCTGTGTCCTTTTTGCACAGCCTTGCAGCTACATGAAGAGTGCATGTGCTGGTACAATGTACAAATAAGGATATGGAATATACTGTACACTGTGTACATGTACATGATTCTGATGAAAGTGTGTGGTGTAATTGGTAATGTAGTACTTAGATGTACACTGTACATGTGACCATTGGATGATGCATCATCAACAGGTAGTGTGTCACAAATTGGTAATGTATTACAAATTGACTGACAGTGTCGACAGTAAAATTTGTTACCAATGATGTACCGGTACCCCTGTTCCGCAGAAGTTTTTATTTAAAAACTCTTACTGATAAATTACATTTACATGTATCAGCTAACGTACCGTATCAAAAAGTGACGCATAATGGATCACTCTGGGGGGAAAGCTTTATAGAGAATTATTTTTGTCTAATAAGGCATTGTTTGTGTCATGCAAAAAGCATGGGCAGCGCAGCTTTAAAGTCCTCCTTTGCATTGCCACAGATGTTTACTCTGGTTCATGTATATGTATACTTGAATGAAACAAACTGTTAGTAATATGGATTTCCTTCCCCCCATGAAGCTTGGGGCGGAAATGTTTCTTTGCATGGCTAAATTTTTGTTATTTGTTTGGTATTATTTTTTTTGCAAGCTCTCAGACAAGCACTGACCATACAGTGTTTATCAAGATACACGTTGGGTAAGGGCAAAACATGTTATATAAATTTACATCTCCCCAATGCAAAAAGACATCTTGAAAATAGTTCATGGTACTTGCTGCTTCACCTGACTCGGACCAGCCAGCCAACCACAGCAAGTTCAGTGGTCAAGATGTCTGCACTATAAGCGGGAGGTCATGGGTTCGGGTCTCACCCGAGTAAGCTTGCGAACTTTTTTGCAAGCTCTCGGACAAGCACTGAGCATACGGTGTTTATCAATATATATGTTGGGTAAGGGCAAAACCTGTTATATAAATAAACATCTCCTCAACGTAAAAAATACATCTTGAAAATTGTTCACGGTACCCGCTGTTCACTTGACTTGGACCGGCCAGCCAACCACGGCAAGTTCGGTGGTCGCGTGGTTAAGACATCTGCACTAGTAAGCAAGAGGTCATGGGTTGGAGTCCCAGCGGAGTAAGCTTGTGAATTTTTTGCAAGCTCTCGGACAAGCACTGAGCATGCATGTACAGTGTTTATCAAGATATACGTTGGGAAAGGGCAAAACCTGTTATATAAATTAACATCTCCCCAGTGCAAAAAATACATCTTAAAAAATCTCATAAAGCAGTTAACCAGTATCATCCTAGTACCTGATACCATTGTTAAGTAGTACCTGTACATTGTAATTGTGGTCATAGCAAT